GCTCGAACTCGGCTTCCGCTATTATTGTAGAGGGATTGTAATATTGAAATTAACTACTCGGACATTCCCTTCAGGGAAAGACAGTGCCAGAGTTTAGAGTGGTCGACAGAGTCGAAAGCCGCTTTTAGATCGAGGAAAATAAAAATGATGGGTCTACGAAAGGAGNTATGTTCTAGAATTTGACGAAGTGTGAAGATGTGGTCAATACAGCCTCGACCAGGTCTGAAACCGGCCTGGTTCTCACCTGTACACCGTTCACGTGCGGCAGACAATCGACGGAGTATGATACCGGCGAGAAGTTTGGAGGCAATATTGATCAAACTAATTCCTCTGTGGTTTTCACAGGAGGATCTGTCACCTTTCTTGTACATCGGTATGATCACCGATTCATACCATTCACTTGGAACCTCTTCCTTTTCTCACACTGAGCCCAGGAGTTTTGTTAACTCCAAAACCAATGCTGAGCCCCCATCCTTAAAAACGGATGGGGACAGTCCGTCGGGGCCCGAAGACTTTTGCCGTAAAGGTGAAACTGGATTTGATTTTTATGTCTAGGTTAACCGGCATCATGCCATCGATACCACCGCTCCGTGCGCAGTCCTAACAAGACATCCGCAATCTATAACCTTTCGGTTAAGGATCCATTGGCATCGATTTTAGATATATTGTTACTACGTTACTTGTGGAGTACAGTAACGAGGCTTCGAAGTAGGGGGCTTGTCGAACTGGCAACACTTATAAGGGATAAAAGTAAGCCTCTTTCAACAAGCAATGCGAATTTACTCGCGTGTGGTGAGCCCCAGAGACACGATTGACCATTGAGCGATACTGTTTGGTCAGTAGTCGACCTTCCGATGGATAAGCCTCTTGCTTCAAAGGCTTACCATTGCGCTCGGCAAGTTGCCGCCGCAGTAGTACGGCGATTTTTTGCGATAAAATACAGGAAATTCAATTTCGCTCGTTGGCCGAGCTACGAGAATCAATTTTCAATATTTTGTCAAAAGTACAGGAAACTACTCTAGGTGCAAGTCCATGGATAGACGTTATCTCTGCCACATCAGACTTATGATCTTAGGGTTGATTAAGCTTGTTTCCAACTTGTCATTTCGGGCAAAAGGTGAACAAAGAGGCCTGAGAAGTAAGCGCACAACCCACACGTCAATACCGGACTATAGTTTTATAAGATGGTTAAGTGACGTAGGTTAAGATTTAACAACACCGGGCTTAAACACTAGGTTTTATTTACCTTTGAATATTTTGGCTATAAATGGAGTAGATGGAGGATAGATACAAGCTCCAAGTATCTTAAGGTTTCACTGCCGTCAACTCACAAAACTAAAAGTACAAGAAGCTCAAAACAAAGATCCTGACGTGTGTCCGAGTGGTCGTCGCTAGGCTTATAAACAGTCTGCTTTGGTCACTAAGTCTGGCGGAGACAAATACTCAACACACAAATTGAGGTGGGTTTGGTGCGGATCCACCTTGAGGGGTTTTAAGTTGAACATGAATGAGAAGACTAAACCTTACCGGCCTTTGTGCGCCAAGACTGTTGATCATCAATGGCCCGGAGAAGTGCTGGAAGTATCAAGCGTACACCGTGTGCACTGAGTTTTGCCATGACGGCACGTGCGGTGTTGGATGCTGCCTATATTTTTCACCGGAGAAGGGAAGAGTTAAGATATTCAGTAGACAAACCAGATAAGTCAAAATCAAGGTAGAAAGTGTACAAAATTTGCTGTTGAGTCAACAAAGTCGAAACTGTTGATCATGTAACTGTTACTAGTGGACTAGATGGATATTGAAACACATGATTCATCTCATTTTACATTTGTCAATTGGCTTATTCCAGTGGATTAAATTACACGGAATAAACTACAGGAGGGCTGATCTATTGTACTTGATATCATCACCCTAAATGGTTTGGCAAAGGACTGGTCGAAGATGGTGTGATTTGGATCGTTACTCGTTTAGCCAAAACCAACAGTCCGTCCAACCTGCTTGAAGCATTTGAACCTTTCTATGCATACAATATACACACAACCAATATACACAACCAGGGGGCTGCAATCGTCGACCATCCATTGCAGAAGAAATAGTGACTAGGATGAATAGCCCTCGCCCTCATTGGGCGATAACAAACAACTCGTTAGGGCCCTCTTTATGCCAGCTCCACGCATCGCCAATCCGACTGCGCAACAAGCATACCGCAAACCCTCAACCGCAAATAACACAATGCTTAGGTGCCTGTGAGTTATCTATGAAACCGTGCGGTTCAACTCTCGCCATCCCATCGTATTGTGCCCTTCATTCCCTCACCCATTGTTGCTTTGACCTATGTAACTGTGATCTATTTGGTCATTGACTAAAGCACCACAAAACCAGCTCGTTTGCCACTGAGAGTGCAAAAGCAATTCCCGGGTTTATTGGTTACTTTATACTTAATCCGCCGTAAATGTAATCAAAGTTTCAGTCTGGCAAATCAACTGCTGCACGCAAAGATGAACATAACGCAAAACTGAGAGCGAGGGTTAACGGCAATAGCACCCTATGTCTACTATTTGTGATTGTATCATGAAACTTTTCGAAATAGAACTATTCCTAATCGCTAAATTCTTCATATTTGCGAATACGTAAACGATAAAATTGCTTGATTGCAATTGAAAACAACCACCTGGAAAAGGATTACGATTCGACGAGCGGACAGAAGTCATCCATGAAAGACAATAAACATGCATGGGAATAGGAGAAAAACCTACTTCACGAACACTAGGACTTGCATCCCCGAAGGAATTCAGCAGTCCAGATATCATTCGGATCACATAAGGTTCAAACAAACGACCCATGCCAAGAGACAGACGTTCGATGGCGAGAAGTGCACCTGAGGGAGGCGAACACAAGGAAGATGGAAAGCGCGTTCGATTTGACTGATCCGTAAAGCACATAAAAGCAAGAGCATTCGTGATCAGAAAATCTCACTCGTTTCACTGGTCAGGTAGCCTCATCAAGGTGTCTGACTACTGCTGAAAGTGGGGGGTGGGGTGGAACTGCTATTTTCATGGAATATCCGTCAAGAGGAAGATGTGTTTCCATGCTAAGCCTGGAGAGATAGAAAACCCGTATGGATGAGTCAATACACTTACTGTCAGTTTCGTACTTGTGAGACATCAGCAAAACCTCATCTGATTCCTAGCTACTGACGTTACAAAATACATTCTGCAGAAAACCAGTAAGAAAAATTGGACTGTTCAAGATAAACAACCGATCCTCACTTTCTCCGAGTTTACTTATTCTTTTGTTTGCTTAGGTAAGGCTCAGTATCATGACGGACCCGAGTGAGTGAACGGCAGGTCCTCGTGACTATAGGATTCATCACATAGGCAGGACGGTCAGGTTGTTTTCCGCAAAACTGAGAGAACATGAGCCGGTCTGATTAAATACGGGAAGTACAAGAACTACATTGACTGCAGTTATGGTGCACCACGTGGACGCGGACACTAGGTACACAGAGGTGCATTCAAAATCGTTTTCAAAGTGACGACAAACTTACCAAAAGCTCACCGTGAACGTTACCTTACAACAGCAAAAACAGCAATAAGCCAATGGTAACCATCTTTAGGCTCACAAAAACACGTTGTTTAAACATTCAAGTAGCTATAGCCCTTGACCCGTAACCCTTTCCGCTATCCTTTTATTAAAGTATGTGACCTCGCCCATCCCGTTTTCTTCGTCCTGCTCTTTTTTGTCCCCAATTCTAAACTACTCATAAAAACTTTGTTTCATTTTCGATCTTTCTCTGTAGCATCTAGAACAACTTGTCCATCGATCGAATAGTGGAGAGCAAAAGCCAACCCTGTATTTTAAACAAACTCATGCGGATTGAAGCTCCATGTTAGCGAATGATCATCACCACAAAAGAGCTAGAATGCAGACAGACACAGAAAAAAGTGAATTTTTCATCTGCTATTTGTAACGGTCACCCTAAAACTTCGTTTTGCGCCGAGTTTCTTTGAGATCCCTAACCGGTGAGAATAAAAGGTTCGTGTAAAATAACTAATCGCTGTCTCGATGGAGGTAGCTTGTTTGCCGTTTCAGCGGATGCATTCTTGAACTGCAGCCCAGATGCAATTAGAAAAAGGTTCGATCAAAAACTCCACGACGTTCGGCGCAAAACTAGACGAGCTGATACTGTAATTTTGGCAGATATTAATGCTGGAGGAAGTCAGCTGTCTTCGAATCAGACGCATCTGTGGGTCTACTGGATATAGATTCTTGTGGTTGAAAAATTGGGCTCTATTTACTGATCACCACTCAGGCCGTCAACGTTAAATCAAACCAACATCCAAATATATGGAACAGGCAAGCAGTTCCATCATTACGATCACATAACAAGTGACAGGAATCTGGTGGCCTCGGTATTGAACGTATAGAATGCATTGTCTATGTGCACTGCATAAACTTGTTATTGATAGTATGAAAAGGTAAGCGGTATTAGATAGCTCGAACACAAAACAGTACGAATCACTGACCTTCACGTTTTTTCGCTGACTTTGAATCCTCCATCGCAGGAAGTAGTTTATCGATAATGCCATAGTGCTTAAGAGACATGATACCTAGACCACGAGCGATTCCGGCTATTCCATGTGCCGCTCCGTGACGTTCTGCATAACTCGAAGAGCCCAGTAAAGTTGTCATTAATCGATTGATGGTTTTCCCTATCTGTTCCTCAGGAAGTTTCTTTACCAGGGACGCCAGACAGTCTTCGACTGCTTGTTGAACCTGGGAATCAAATCGGAAGAAGGGTTCAATTGTCAGAATAACGTGAACAGTTCGATCGATGATTATTGAGGAACCGGTTGAATTGAAACAAGCTCACTGATGAAACAGAACAGCTCGGTGCGCTCCGGAAACCGACGAGAAGTTCTTTACAAAGAAAGCACTTACCACATCCGAGGGGAAGTTTAGCGTGTTCAGCAATCGGTTGAATGTGTTCACCACTTTCGGATCATCAGCAGCCAAATGGCAAGATAAGGATCCAGTCAAGATGAGCACAGACTGACGAACAGCATCTAACTCGGCCACATTCGGGGCTTTATTCAAAAACGTTTCGAGAATCGGAAATAGCTGATCTAGGTGAGCCTATAAAAAGTGGAATGTCGAAATATTAAAAAAAATAATGATCATAATAATAATAATACAAACTGTAATGATAGTAACAGAAGAATATGGATAGCATTTGGAATCAATTCAACGTTAAATTACATATAAAACAAATATATATTCAAGTGCGTTGGTTCATTTTGTTTAGCTTTCTTCAACCTATCTATTGAGACATAGTTTCACTGTACGGTTATCCCGAAAAATCGGTTGTGATTCACCATTCCGCACTCCAGGGCTTAAGTTGCCGTTGTCCATTTACCGAGTAGTAAGTACCCGTAACTTATGTGTAGAGTGGAAAGGAGCCTAATTTGAAGAAGGGGACAGAAAATGAGCCTTTACGGTTAATAGAACACAGTCTATTTTTGTAAACACATGTTTTCAAAAAAATAATAACAAGAAAACAGCTATTGTCGGCTCACTCTCATGACCTCAAATGTTTCTGACCAACCAGTTGCGTATGTATTTGCAGGAGAGTACGGACATCGCAGGTAGGTATATCGACAGCGCGACCTCATGTATTGCACTCAACGATTCCATTGAATGCAAGTGGGCGACTCCTTACTCAGCATTCATAGCTCAATACTGAAGTCTGATCGGCCAAAGCGAATCGATCTTAACACCAAATAAGTCAGTGTGACTTACGTGCTCGCGTGTATGGTAACAGACTACATCAGTTAATCAATCAGTGATGGCATAGACACACATAGTCAATGTTTCGAGTAATGATAAGTCAAAAATCAATTAATTACAAATGAATATGTTTGTCCTTGTGCTAATATGCTCTAAGAACGTAAAGAAACATGGTAACTGGGCTTTTCTCAATTGAGCTCGTAGTTGGCAACCGACACCGAGTTGCTCATGGTCAACGTTCGATGACGTTTCAGTCTTATAACAGAAAAGGAGCAATTCTGGAGCTGCATATAGCAATGAGTAACTTACCACACTGAAACGCATGTTTATCAGGAAAAAAACACGACAAATCAGTCAATAATGGACTGTTTCATGGTAAATCGAGGAATAAGACATTTGTGCTCAATCACAAATCTGAAGCAAAAGAGATGCCAATTCTAAATAATAGAAACGGAAAAAATGGTACCTAAGAATCATTCTGATGGGAGTATCAGCTCTTAAAAGAAGCAACCAGAAGCCGGGGTTTTTAAATGATACGCCCAAACAAGTTAATTCAATAGCAAAGACAGTAATGGTTTAGACACTGCGTAAACAAAAAACGACCTGACCAAATCCGCCTTGACGCAGTCTCCTTACCAGACCCGGTGCTGTCGACGGGATGGGCAGTTGAAAACCCGGTTCGACAATGTTGTGTCCCGTTTAAGCACGTAATTCAGTACGGGGTCATTTTTTTAAGTTCGTCTGTCAGCAGTGCGCTCACATACACGTAGCCGGTATGCGAACCGGTGAGCAAGCAGAGTATCAACGGTTAATCAGTCAACCCTGTTGGGTGCCTTAACACTTTAGTCGACTGCAGGGCACATCAGACACTGTACACAAGGACGCGAAACACCTTGTTCTCCGCTCCGTATATGATAATCGCCAGTGAAAGTCAGGCTAGATCACAGTATGCGCAGAGCATCGTACTGACCACTAGGCTTGGTTGGCTGCAATTAGGGATATCTATTAAACCGGGTTGTCCTCTCTCAAGAGACAACCACCGTAAAGCAAGAAAAAGAAATAACAAGAGGGCAATAAAAGGGGTAATGACAGTGTTATTAACAAAACTACCTTTCCGTAAATATCAACAGCCCGAAGGCCGGCCTGCAACATTTGAGATTGAACGGCCTGACTGCGATCATTTAATCCATCGGGAACGAGGAATCGGAACATATTGAGTAGCCACTGATCTGCTTTGCGAGTGGAATCAACCTTATCTGCAGGTAATTCAGCATCATCGCGAGTCGTGGTTTCCTCTGACTCGGGACCGGGCTCGCCGGTGGCTGTAGTCAAACCTTTCCGGAGTAGACGGTAGACGGCACCTGTTTGGTTTTGACATTCAGGAAGTCGAGCTAACGCCATAGCGAGTCCAATACGTTCACGCCAGCGGTCCGCGGATTCCGGAATCAAGATACGACCCATGCTATCTACAACCGGTGGTTCACGCTACAAAATAATTCACACATGGAAAAGGATGTTATAAAATAGAATAAAAGTCCATCTACCCTTTGGAATATATTTACAAAAGAATCTTCAAAAAGGGCATGTTGCTTCCGTTCTCGGTGACAGAGAAAGGTTTAAAAAGAAGCCGAGAAAATATGAAGCACAGATTGCAACAAAGTCACACAAATGCGACCATTGACGTATAGCGACATAATCGTTCCAATACTAAAACATGTTTAACTACTGCCTTCTATCATGAAGCTCTGAAACCCGGGAGCGGTTGTGAATGTGCGGTTAACAGCTGAAAACTGATTTCCGACACAGAAAATTAAGTAATGGAAAAAGAAAAAAGAAGTGGGACGAAACAATCCAGACAACCTCAATTTTCGTCAAACTAATCAAGATTGGATAAATCCGAACCTGGTTACCGTGCCTGAAGGGAAGAGAAGCGTTTAGATAGTCTACGTTAGTGCGGTGATTTTCATATAATCTATCTGAGCAAACATGAGGAGTTTCATCAATCCGTGCATTGAAATGCAGTGTGAAAAGAATAATATTAATATTTTTAGAGTAGCAAACTTGGATTAGCCCATTTGACTGTTAAGAAGCACCAGTATGACATTTCCATCACATGTAAATAATAGTAGTGATAATAAACAATAATAATAGAAAAATAATGCTTTTTTACTTCCTTTTCATTTATTACATATAGAAATGTACGCTCAACTTTCAGGAAGGGGACCGCGGCCACATAAAGGCTGTATGAAAGAAAGAAAGAAAGAAATGGGGAAGGTGGGCAATGGTGGGGTGGTTCGAACTGGCTACTTCCGAGTTAACATTTTGATGACCTTACTCTCTTTCTCAAGCATGAAAGAAAAGAGTACTCCCTCTCGTTCATCATCACTGTTATGCTTTACAGATGTGCAAATCGCACGACTTGGTCAACATCCGTCAACGAGCAAGATGCAAGACTAAGGTCTTCCGCAGTTTAACACAGAAAGAGCATGGAAAGACAGGTTGATCAGGGAATAGGAAAAACGTGTCATTAATTGATCAATGAGGTGCGCTGAATGGAGGAGAATCCAACCACAGCGTTGCTTTCGCAATTCGAAGTGAAAGTTTATCAAACCAATCATGAAATGGTACAAAGTTCCCACACGAGTGCTTCAGTCAGGGTCCAGCGCTGGATTAGTGCACCAGTGTCTTGCGGGCCAGACTTTTGCGTCAAAGCCTATGGCCAGGGTTCCCAAAAAAAACCTTCGTCGATGTGGGCTACAGTGAAGTGTCGTGACCTCAAGTCTTACTTACCCATATGAAAACCCCTCCCTCATCTGCCCAGGTTTCCTTTCCAGTCCAAATTAAACGAGCTGTCTCCCGTTAATACTATCAATGAAAAATGATAGTAACTAATGAATGATGAAAGCCAAAAACCCGAAGGAATAATTACTTCAAGACTATCGTATCCCCCGTTGTGCTTGAGATGAACATCATGACACTACTGTGTGCAGACTGGATTCGATTCTAAACAGAGACCGGTGGATGTGAAGAGACGTAGAGCTAATGTCCAAGTATATGAACCGACAATAAAAACCAATCCTGTATTGAAACGTCAACGCAATAAGCGGTATTTTGTTAACAATTATTTGAATATTGTGTGTGTGAAAAAGCGATAAAACTGAGCAATGCGTCGACATCGTTTTATGAAAGCGAATAGAGTCAGCTACAGCGAAGAGCAATAGGACTCACGTATAGCATAACACGGTACAGATGAATCAGTTGGTCTAGAGCTACAACCAACTCATCCGGTGACCGCCGAACTAAACTCAAGGCGAATGCGTCCGCCGTAGCCTTCTGTACGGGAACGCAAGGTCTGGTAGTTTCCAAAAGCAGGCGTTGCGCCAGACGCATCGGAAGCAATAAGTCAGGCATAGTTGGCGTATCCAGTAAATGACCATTGCTGTTGGTGGCCGATGGCTCCCCATCTGGCACAGCTTCGCAGGTCAAATTGAAACCAAGTTGCACCCAGAGTCTAGCATAACAGAAAAGATACATTAAAAACGGATTGTGTGAGAGAATTTTGAAGCTAAAGGGTACCGCGTAGGTGATAACACCGAACCGATACCGCGGCTCTTGCACTCCTCACAATAAAATCAACTGAGATAAGTTGAATAAGGGGAGATTATTCAGCAAATGAAAAGGACAAACACAGCAGTGACGGTGCCACAGAGAGAATGACATTTGTAACCTACCGTCTTCTCGACAGAGTTAAATTGCACTAAAACAATGAAACCCACTTCTAAATGATACCGACCATGAATGTTTTCGTTAACCGTTCAACATCGCTGCATGTGTGCAGAGAAGCCCCCTAAGCCTGTGAGCCTGAGAAAACTGGTCACAGCTTTTGTATTGGGTTGGTAAATAACAAGTACGTTGTGGGCTTGCTGTTTACGTTGCATTGCACGAGTATGATAAGACAAACGGATAAGCAGTGCCGAGATTACTCAGGAGAATTAGAGACAACAGACATTATCTGCTGATTCAAAAGCTTAACACCATAGAGACGTAGGTTGCACACGTCACCAGATATATTTCCTCGCTGTGACGAAGCATGTAGTGAGAGGATAACGCCTAAGAAGGTCAGAACAAGACTTGACATGAGAGAATGAAAATCCTAACCAGTAGGCCTAACTAGGTGAGGTCGAGTTAGACTTCCCGGTTGCAACATCGTAACCCGGTTTAACGGACGGCCAGAGACGGGGAGTGACATGGGTGAGTATCGTAAATAGTGACGCTCTTGCCTTTACTTAAGTTCTTCGCAAATTTAGTCTTCCTGAACTGCATAGTTTTTCCTTGGTATTACTACCAGCCCTCTACGTCCTCCACCTTTCAGTTTCAGTTTCAGTTTGAACAACCATTAACCACGCATTTTCGTGCGCCAGTTTTGGTTGCTATCTTTTGGCTGCCCATTTGGATGAAGAATAGGAGAAAGGAAAGTTGAAAGCTGAAAGTGGGGTCGAACAGAAAATGGAGAAGTTCAGTGGTCTAAGGTTGCAAAGAAATTGAGGAGATGCACGAACGCCACTGTTTACGACACCCAGCCATATCGCTGTGTCTCTAAACATTGGTTACGATCATCCCGAGGTCCCCATCCAGGGAGCCTAACAGGATCTATGTGACCTAGTCTCCTGGTTAGGGTTTTCATACTCTCAAGCCAGGTCTTAACTTGACCACCCTTGGCTTTTTTCACTCGGTATCTGCTTCGGCGAACATCGTTCGCCGTGGTAACCTACCTGGTGACATGCGTAACACGTCCCAGCCAACGTAATCTATGGAGATCGACCACTTGTTCCAGTGGGCGACCGTATTTACCCAATACTCTGCACCTCACCTCAGCATTGCTCAT